CTGTCTTCTGACCTTTGGTGTAGAGCTTAGATAGAGTTATTACCTTAGCACCAGGTCCGGATCCCGGAAGTTCCGATTGCTCCAGGTGGGTGTTGCTTGGATCTGGCTGCTGTGCTCCACTTTCTGCTACAGGCAATAGAGTTGAACTCTTTGTGTCACTCTGGCAAGATGTTCTGCTCCTGAATCAGCTGGGTGGGTCTTGCCTCTAGCCTCTTTGTGGGGAGTTCTGCTGAAGGGTTCCCTGCTGGGCCTGTATTCTGGGTTGAATGAGGATTCGCGGGCCTGGGTCATCTCACTCGCTCGCTGGGCCTGCACTCTGGGTCTATTCAGGATCCCGCGGCCCCGGTCCTTCTCTTTCATTCTTGATGTTGGTGATTTGTCTTTTCTATCTTTTATTGTTCATCCATCTGCCTGGAGACTTATTAATTTATTAATCATTTTTTAAAAACTATTAGGTTCATTAATTTTTCTGTTTTTACCATTTTCTGTTGAAACAGTTTCACTTATGTTTTTATCTATGTTTATGTTCAATTTGCTCTTTTCTTAGCATTTTTTTTTTTTTTTTTTTTGCAGAACCGGGGATTGAACTCAGGCCCTTACGCTTGCCAGGGAAGCGCTTATTCTACTGAGCCATCTCTCTGACCCCTAGCCTTTTAAAGTAGAAGTTTAGATGCTTAATTTTAGAGCTTCCTTTTTCCTAGTGTGTGCATTTAATACTGACCTATACCACTTTCCTGCAGCTGCATATAACAAATCTCCATGCATCTTCTCACTTTCATTCAATTCAAAATATTTCTTAATTTTCTTCATGATTTCTTGATGCATGAGTTACTTAGAAATATCTTTGCTTTCCTAATATTTGGAGAGTTTTTACCCTGTCCTTTGTTGTTGTTTATTTGCCTAATTTTCACTAAAGTCCAAATATTTGTGTATTGGGGCTAGGGATTTGGCTCAGCGGTAAGATGCTTGCCTAGCAAGCTGGAAGTCCTGGGTTCAGTGGTCAGCACCAAAAACAAAAAATAAACCTCCCCTAAAAAACAATTCAACCAAAAAAAAAAAAAAAAAAAAAAAAAAAAAAAAAAAAAAAAAAAAAAAAAAACCCAAAAAACAGTAAAATCAAATACCTGGGTATAGGGCATAGTTTCCATTGTCTCCTGGCCAAAAGTTTCTCAGATAACTAAACTCTATAATTTTCTTGGCCAGCAATTTACCACCAAGGTAAATGTTACATGTAGTCTCTGAATTCATTAATTCTTAGTGTTAGTTTTGAATGCTAATTTTAAATATTTCATCATTTATTTTAAAATTCTCTTTTAAAAATCATATTAGTAAAATAGTGATGATTTTAATAGCCACTGACTTTTAACCTGAATCCTTAGACATTGTTTTATTTTGGGCTTTTTTCATTCGGATTTAGAGCATTACATTTGAAACAAAAGAGGTAACATTCCGAGATAGACCACGGAGAACCTCCTGGGCAGTGGAACCGTCCTGTGGGAGGCGGCACTGGTGGCTACATCTCTTGACGTTTGTCCAAAGTCCCAACAGAAGCTCAGAAATTAATGATCTAAACTTCCACCTTCAGCACAAGAATGAACCCCAGCTTGAACTATGGACTTCGGGTGACCACGGCGCGTCACTGTCAGCTCATCGATGGTGACCGAGGTACCCTGGGTACCGGATAATGGGAGGGAGGAGTGGGGGACACACGGGATTTCTTCATACTTCCCACTCAAATTTGTTGGGAGCCTAAAACCTCTCCAAAAACTAAAGGCCATTTTTTAAAGCCACAGTAGGAGTGCATGACATTCAGAACGCTAGGTCAGTGCTTAAATGTTCAAAACTGAACATTCATTCCTGCCACTAATTAGTTTTCTTAATCCCATCCTGTCTCCAGTGTCACTTTTATAAACCTCCCCTTCATGTTAATAAGCTTCACTGGGTGACAGTGAAATTACTGTAGATTAGACTGACGTTATTTTTAGAAATAAAGCAGTTTGAGGAGTCAAGTCCCTGGGACGTGAGTCAGTCACTGAATTAATAGGATCTTAAGGAAAATAACCCCATGTGCCCCTCGCCTGGCGTACCCTGCAGAGCCTACATTAAGACTTGCATTACAAGCTCCTTACAGCTGCCTCTCCTATGAGTTCAGAAGGAGCTCGGTAAATAATATCAGAACTGAGTCATTTATGGTTGAATGACACAGAATGAAAAATAAATGCCTTTCAGGCAGTTCCTGTTACCTAATATGGACAAAGAAGTAGACACTCTAACCAAAGGGCCACACCTGCGGCCCAAATGAACTTTTCCCTATAAGAGCGTTGATCTAATTTCCTGATCAAAAGAGGAATCCAAAAGCACTGTAAATGATCTGTCTGGACCTGAGAAGTCCTATTTTTGGTTCTCAAAGGCCCTGTCAGCGTCAGTCTGCTGACTTACTCCCTGAATAGCCGAGGGTGTTCTCTTTTGTCCTCTTTTAGGCAATTCCAATTAAAACCGCTCTTTCACTTTGCTGAAAGGTCATGCTGCCTGGAGTCCCACGGAGAGCTAGGATTTCTTGTGGTGCGAGTCAGAAACAAGCTAACACAGAATTCACATTTAGAACTTGGGAATAGATGGTATTCTTACCAGAATTTTTTTTTTTTTTAAAAATACAAATTCTGTGAATCACAAGCTCCGGAGAGAGATATTCCATATAATAATTTCTACCCCTGGTCCCTACACCTTCTTACCCCACAATAAAAGTGAAATTGGAAGGGAACATCCAGAAGGAGAAAAACTGAGGTTAAAGGACTGCTCTCAGATGAGTTGCTTAACTCTGAAAGCCATAAGGAAAGGGAGCCTTTTCCGAAGGAAGTGACAACAGATTCATAAAGTACATGACTCATAAACTGCTCTCAACTTGCAAAACTGATTATGAATCACCGAAGAAAAACTTCAAATCTTGAAAAATCTTGGTTGTCTTTTAGGAATCACCTTCTGAAGTCTTTGCTGCTGTGAACACGTTCTTATTCACTATCTTGGCATAATGTTAGGGCAAAATAAAATAGGTCAGCTTTGGTAGATATATTTGGGTAAAAAGCCAGACTGGGCTCTAAGTTTCTCTTGTATGAATCATAAAAATCTGGATGATAATTTAAAAAAAAAAAAAAGAGTTACACTTAAAGAAATATATCCTAAACAGGTGTTGGGTTAGAAGTAGAAGCTTTCTTTTATTTATTTATTTATTTATTTTTTTTTTTTTTTTTTTATTTTTTGTGGAACCGGGGATTGAACTCAGGCCCTTGCACTTGCCAGGGAAGCGCTTATTCCACTGAGCCATCTCCCCAGCCCCAGAAGCTTTCTTTTAATAGGGTGCTGTGTGCTTCTGAACCCATGAAAGAAGGCTGTGTGTGAAAGCAAACCAGCAAAGCCTGCAGGAACCTTGTCCATCGGGATGGCCGGACAGGGAGGGAGAGACCTGCCCGAGGTGACTCTCTCTATAAAAGCCATTAACGGTAGGTGGGGTCCCTAGAGGTCAGGATCTACATTATGCTGGTTAGAAGAAGTAGAAATAATGAGTGACCCACAAATTCTTCCAATCAATGGTGAATACCAGTAATGAGCACTCCAAGATTTCAATCATTAACTTCAGGGCAACCTTAGGCTTCTGTGTAGGTCCAGGAAAAAGCACAGTAGTCACAAAGATAATATGTTATTTAACTGGAAAGCACAGAGGTAGATAAGGTGGACAAAGGGACACTGAAGTGTGGGGAATTATTCCATTCATTTAAGACAGTTTGGGGGAAGCTTGGGAATAGTTCTCAGTATTTGGAAAACTGCAGTCTAAGCACACAGTCACAGGGTGTCAAGACCATGAAAGCGTTAGGAGTTTTACAGTTTGCCTGGAGTATTTCCTAAGATTTCCTAGCAGGATCAATGCATGATCGACGCATTCGACACTAACCTCCAAATGGGAACAGAAGGCAGATGAGAGAGAGTTAGGGACCAGCTGGGCCTGAGCTCCGCTGTCTTTCCTTTGACTTCTGGGAGGGTCCCTGCAGGCCCCGGGTGATGGTGTGTACAATGCACGTGAGGAAACCCTCTCCCAAGAATATCGCGGGCACTGACTAAGGAAAGGTGTGAGGCACTCAGGGTGTTTCGTCAGCACTTTTTTTTTTTTTTTTTTTAATATCGCGGGCACTGACTAAGGAAAGGTGTGAGGCACTCAGGGTGTTTCGTCAGCACTTTTTTTTTTTTTTTTTTTCAGTCCTAGGGATGGAACCCAGGACCTTCCATGTGCCAGACGAACATTCAAGCTCAGCACTACGTCCCCAGCCCAGCCAACGCGAGCTTCACAGTTAACAGGAATCATCAGTTCCAGTCTCCAATGTCTGATGCTTAATTATTCGTGAAGTCATAATTATTGGGTGGGGGGCAGGGGACGTTCTCAGCGTTGTCACCAAGGTTATGGGTTGCAGAGGTCCTATGTGTGAAAGCCACGCTCCACACCAGCAAACGCTTGCGAGGACTCACTTGCTCACACAAACCGCAAAGAGCAGGAGGAGGGTCTGCTAAAGACAATCTTCCAGTCATAGGAAATATTCAGCTAATCCTGGCTGAGACCAGTGTTTACAGCCAGGAATGTGACGGGATACCAGCGCTTTCCTGCCCTCTCCACAGTGGCTCACTCCCAGTGCAAAAGGCTCCCCGTGCCAACCTCAGGGCACGCTTACAGCCTCTTGGAGAACGCTGCCTCGCAGCAGAGGGACGATTTGTCCTACTTCTCCCCTCCAGCCAGGTGCTTAAAGCAAATCTGCACCGTGGGCTTTGTTCCTCAGTGGTCGAAGTTCAGTATGTCCAGCACACGTGCTACTACACAGGACCTTTCCCATCACCCAGGGTGGGGAAGTGGACAAAATCCACCCTGTGACACCAAGAGGAAGCTGCTCATGTTTGGGAAGGGACGTGTCAGCCTGTGAGTTCCCCACAGCTCTTCCAAGAGCTCGGTATCCGAACGTTTGGATCCTTTTCAAACAGAAATCATGGTGCGGGCACTGCTAGGGTTTACGAAGCGGAGTGGCTGGGGTGACTTCATGTTTGAGAGCGCGCGGCTCCCTGGGTGGAGTCACCGAGGGCAGAGTTGACTCATGCGGTCCTGCGCTGGGAATCTAATTACAGCTCATTTACCCCGAGCACGTAGATACACGACCTCTGCTCCCCACCTCAGCCGCCGGAGCTCCGTCGCCAGCCTGGCGTGGACACCAACGGACACAGAGCCAAACATCAGGTCATATTCCCAGAGATTAGAGGCCTCACAGCGGAGGAGAAACACCAGGCTTCCGTTTATCAAGTGCACACACCCAGAGAGGTCAAGGTACCAGCAGACAGCAGGACCAGCCTGTCCCTGCCGCTCTCGAGATCAGAGGTGATAAGGACCTGCCACCCTGAGGTGGCGTCTCTGCACTCCGCTGTTCTCCATCTCCATTTCACAGCCTTTTGAGAAATGGTCATCTCTTCCTTCCCTGTTGTAATTCCTGGCATTTGGGTTCATGGTCCCCAAGTGGCCCCTGTTTTCTTTAAAATGTCACCCTCAAGACAGGCATGGTAGTGCATGGCTGTAATCTCAGCACTCAGAAAGCTGAGGCAGGAGGATCTTTGTGACTTCAAGGCCAGCCTGACATACAAAACGAGAACTGGTCTTGAAATGAAATGAAATGAAATGAAATGAAATGAAATGAAATGAAATGAAATGAAATGTCACCTCCCCTTGGTGCTCCTGTTATATTACCCTTGACTTCAGCTTCCACTTGCACTTTGTCCTCTTCCCAGTAACCCCCTTATTTCCAGCTTCCCCAGCCCTGTGCATCCCTGCTGGATTTGGGGCCCTCCAACTCCTGCAAATGTCACAGCTCAGCTCAGAAACCCTCAGGACTCTCCTGCTGCAGCCAAACCCAAGGGCCTGACATTCAAATGTAGCCAAATCTCCCCAAATCCCCTTGGCCCACAGCTCCGCTGCTCTGGGCAACCTGGTCGCCTCTGCCCACCCCCCAGCTGATACCAGGGCTGCTCACGGGCCCTGACTTCTTCATGTCACTCCAGGCCTGATGTTATCCACCCTGGCTTCCCAGTGGGACACGACATGGCTACTCTTTCCCTGACCCAGCTCAGCCACGGGTTCTCCAGGACAGAGCAGCCCCATCCCCACCCCTGAAGGGACCCCACCCCGTGGCCTCTGCAACACATTATCACAGCTCACGACACACCACAAACGCCCTGACTTTATAGCCATTTCCCTGTCTGATTGCAAGCTCTGGGCGACAAGGACCGCATCTTCCTCATCCTTTTATGCCTGCAGCACCCAACACCATGCATGATCAGCAAATACTGAACAAACACAACAGTTAAAGGGCCCAGGAGAGCGACAGACACTCTGATCCCTGGGGAGAGATAACTTTTAGTGCCCTCAGTCACCGGCTTACTGTCATTGCACACCAGTCAGCCTGTGACTTCCAGAAAAAGCAGCTGAGGTGCACCTCATTACTGGTCCAAAGTGGCGCCACACCCACGACACTTGACAGTATTGTTTAATCAATGAACGTGTACCAAGGAAAACAGATACCATGGATTTCCCTTACACCTACAACTATGTGGCATACATCCTAGCGATCAACCCTGCTAGCCTTGTAAATACACTGCTCAAACGTACAAAACATACCAAGTGCAGGGGCACACACCTATAATTCTACCACTCAGGAGGCTGAGGCAGGAGCATCATCTGGAGTCGAAGCCAAGCTGGGCTGCAGGCACAGTGAGTTCAAGGACAGCATGAACTACGTAGTGAGACCTGGTCTCAAAAGAATTGCAAAAATACAAAATATATAGTGTTTGATCAAGTCAGCTGTAGTGACAGCTTCAGTGAGGTGACCCATCTCACCTTGGCCTGAAGGAGAGCCCGGATCTAGGGTCCTGGAAGCGACGGACTTAAACGCACTCGCTTTCCCCCACCCTGCAGACATGTCCACTCCTTCACAAACAGCATGACAAATTCCCTGTCCACATTGCCTCAAAATGTCCTGAAATTAAATGTCATCTCCTACCACTCATTTCCTGCCAACCTCACGCCCGTCTCCTCCTGGTCGCCCACAGCTTTTCCTGTCTGTGAACTGTTTGAGGTGCTAAAACGCCATGTGTTTCTTATAATAGTGACACTAATGTCACCACGAGGGCCCATGCTGTGCCGCTTTCAAAGATACCCAGAGCTCCTGCTGGTCATTGGGTTATTACCACGTTATTAATTGACATCATAATTCCATAATGTAATGAGCAATTAACTCTCCATGAAGGAAAGATTAAGTAACCAGCTCTAGGACAGGACAAGGTCAAACTCGGGACCGAGACTAGAAACCAGGGTTCCCACCCTGTGCGGCGCCAGGAAGGCCAGGTTCCCTTTTCTTTCCCAGCAGAAGGGCGCAGCCACACGTGTGCTGTCCGATGGCCCCGAGACCTCAGCAATGGCCACACTTTCTGACTCCTTCTCGGCCGGGAGAAGGGCCCTGTCTTGAAGCAGGTGGACTGAGGACTGGTGGTCATCTGGGGACACCCAGCTGAACTGAGCCAGCGTGGTGCTGGGCGTGGAGGGCCACCTGAGGGCTGCTGCCAGCAGTGGGAAAGGAGAACTGGAGGGGAAGATGGCGTGCTGTTGATTCTCCTGGAGAAGCTTGTCATGCTGGTTTTTCTAATATGGACTCAGCTGTTCTCGTCCATGGAGGAGTCTGGGTCCTCTCTGTCGCTGAGGAAGGCTGTGGTTCTCTTCAGGAGAGCTCTGGTCCTCACCTTGAGCGTCGCTTGCTGGCTCCCGTGCAGACCCCTCGGCCTGCTGGCACGGATCCTCCATCCCGCTGGCGCAGACTTCCTAGCTCCCACCACTGACCTTCGGGCCTTCACGGTGCAGGTCCTTGGTATAGAGCTGCCTGAGACGTTGTCACGGGCCCTAGGCCTCCAGCGGGACTCGTGCAGGACACTGCCGTGGGATCCAGGCCCTCAGCTGGGTTCTTTGGGTCTCTAGTGTGTGGACAGAGCTACTACGCGCTTTTACATTTGATTCTTTTGACAACAGGATTGGTTTCTTTCCTTCTCTCAGGCTCTGGTTTAATGGAGCTACCTCTCCGCTGTTCTCTCTGCTTAGGGTGCTCAAGTCACAGAAGGATCATGTCACCTCTCAGCTCAGAACCTTCCAGGGGCCAAGAGGTGACAGATCCAGGCTGGGGTCCAGCTCAGCGGTCGGCACCTCCAGCCCCCAAGCCAAAGTCATCCCTGTAAGCTTTTCCCTGTTCACTCCGTTCTCCTCTCCTCTGTCTTCTTCCCAACATCCTGGCTCCACCGTGGTCCCCAGCACACAGTGCCCCGGGCCTTTCCACAAGCTCTTCCTGAGGCCAGGAGCTCCGTCCCTCCCCAGTTGGCCACATGACTCATGGACCACTGACATTCTGGCCTGCTCCCTGGTCACTTCCAGGACCACCTAGCTCATTATCCCCATCTGCTCCCTCCACCCAGCAGGACCAAGTTCCTGCCCTTAATTGTTCCCTAGCCCTCAGCAGTACCACATATTGTACTTATTTATCTTGTTTGTTACTGTGACCCACAGGGCAGCCCAGGGAACACAGAAAAACGGAATTCCACGTCTTTGGAGTGGGGAGTTATGCCTCATGGTGACAAATCCCGTCCTCAACTTGGTTTATTACACTGCTGCTCCGAGCGATCCCGAAGTCACTTGTGGTTTGAATTACTTTAGAATTCAGAATACTATTAATTTCCGGTGAGTAATTCCAAGAACCGAGGTACTTGGGGGAGAATCAAGATGTTCTCAGAAAGGGATGCGGAGCTAGGAGGAGTAAGAAAGACCACGCTGCTGAAGTCATTTTCCTGTTTAGTGAACCGCGGCCACAGCGCCAAGGATATTTTGAGATTGACTGTGCTCTGATTCACTGGAAATGAGATTCCGCAGGATAATGTGTTTCTTTAAAGTGTTTTGGAAGGAAGTCATTTCCATTCTAGCTCCTGCTCAGCAGCCAGGGGAGAAGGCAGTTCCAAGTTTTGAGGTTTCTGCATTAGATCAAACAGTTTCTTCCAGACCATTCAAGATCAAAAAGAGGCCTGGGTGTGGCAGAGAGGCCGCCTGGCACAGGGGCAAGGAAAAAAAAAAGATTCAAAAGGCGGCAGAGAGTTAAAATGGGCACACTCATTCCGCTCAAGTCGGCGTTCCTCGGGTGCCTCCCATGGCCGGAGCCGCGGGCGATGCCCCCCACATGCCGCCCGCCCGCCCCTATCCTGCGATGTCCCGGTGACACCCAGGGCGGGCCGGCTCCCGCACCTGTCTCTGCTCGCGCCTGCGCCCCAGCATCCGCCTCCAGAGGCTCCAGCCGGAGCCCAGCAGACCTGAAACGCAGCTCCGCGCACACCTGTTTCCATGAGGCTCTCGCTCACCCCACACCCGCGTGTGTTCTCCGAAACCCCGAGCCCACGCAGCAGCCCTAAACACTGTTGTGCTCAGCGGGGCGTGGTGGGGCACACCTGGAGTCCCAGCACTCCGCGAGGCTGAGGCAGGAGGATGGCCAATTCGAGCCCAGCCTATAGAGCAAGTTAGGGAGACCTCGTCTCAAAATGAAAAATAAAAAGGGTCAGGGATGGAGCTCTGGGTGGAGACCTTGCATTCGATCCCCTGTATTACTGAAGAGGAAAACCAAACCGGAAGCCACTGTCACACCATGCTCCTATCAGAGCCTCGGAGCTTGAATTTGGCTATGGTTCTTTGGAGGACACCAAGATCATGGTGGAAAAGTGCAGTTCCAGGGTTTCCTGATTCATCTCAAATACTTAAAACACCCCCACACCCTGGCCCACCCTAATCAAGCCTGTTTCTCGGAAGTCTCATGGTGTTCCTGTAGTGGTCCCCCAAGGACAGCTTCAGTCGGATACATTTTTGAACACATGCGTTGGGGGTTGTTTTGTTTTGTTGGCAACACCGGGGATTGAACCAAAGGC